AAGTGGGCTTGTGGCTGCACTTGACCTCCCTGCTGGACCAGGGCGCACAAGCTGCGTCCATTGGATGGGGCTGTGGAGAGTGCCGGGACCCAGGACTCTCCCCCCTGCAGCAGCAGCCTCGCCCTGGGTGGGACAGTGCCTGGCGTGTTTACACTGACCCTCGCTCTTTGCCCTTCTCCGGAGAGAACACGCACTTTCACATCTGCCTTCAGATGCAATGGCGTGGCGGGGGCGTGCGGCCTTAAAAGACCTCAGTGTTTATTCCACACAGGCTTCTACAGCTTAAAAACAGGAAAGTGCTTGCAAGAGGGTCACAGCTGAGGCTACTGTGGGTCTGTCCACCCTCCATCCTCTTCCTTTCTCCTAAGGGTCTGGGGTCCCAGGAGCCACGAGGAGGACCACCCGCCTTGCCGAACAGGCCATGTGCTTGGGGGCGAGCTTTCAGAGGCACCTGCCTGGAAGCTGCTTGCCCGAGTCTGTCAGGTCTGCAGGTTCACAGCGGGAGTCCCTTCCCTGAGCCTGAATGCGGCTGCGGGTTCTCAGCTGTGGGCTCCCTGAGCAGACGGGGCAGGAGGCCTCGCTCCTGCTTCACAGGTCTGGAACCTGGGACCTGCCCAGCTGTGCAGCCCCGGAGCTGGGACTTTGGCTTGGGTTTCTCACTCCGGGGCCAGTGTCTGTCCACGCTGAGCGAAGTCACAGTGCAGGGCCTGAGGACAGCCACGTGGCCGTTCCTGCCCCGGAGTGGCTGTTGTCAGGGTGCGAGCAGGCTGCTAGGTGCCAGCATTCCAGGCCTTCCTGTCTCGGACTCTTCCCGGTGGTTCTGTTGGCTCTGCCTGGGTGACTGTCCCCTGGGATGAAGACCCCCCAGTCACAGGGAGCCAGGCATCTTCACGGCGTGTCCAGAATGCCCTGTTCCTCCCCAGGCCCTGGACAGCTTTGCTTCCGGACAGTGAAAATGGACTCGGCCCGCGCGCTGCTTGCTGGCTGCGTGAGCCAAGCTCACTGAAGGCAGGAAGCAGCACGTGATCTGATCCCTCTCCTGCCTTCCTAGCCGGGACCCAGCACCGGGAAGTGGGATCTGAAATGAACTCTGATTTAACAGGATTGTGAGGCCTAGACCGTGGCCAGATCGTTGTAGCAATACACGATTTCACAGAACTAAGCAGACACCATGTGCTCAGCGCTGGGTCGGGCACTGGGGGAGCTAGGAGGACACTGGTGTGGAGGGAGGCAGGGCCCTGTCCTTCAGGTGGGGGATTAAATAAATGGTGGTTTTACCATCTGTAGGCAAGATTGGCCACATACTTGTCTGAATTCTAAAATGTCTGATATATATATAATGTGACTAAGCGCTAACTGTAGACTCTCCAGAACATTCAGAGAAGGGCAGGGTGGTCATACTGGTCCTTCTCGGACGAGGAGGAGGACTTGGAGCCACTGGATTAAAATAGTGGACTTTTTAAAATCCTCAGAATCCTTTCTTCAAATGACAGTTTAGGTTCATTCAGGATATAGGACAGGGATCCTCAAACTTTTTAAACAGGGGGCCAGTTCACTGTCCCTCAGACCGTTGGAGGGCCGGACTATAGTTTAAAAAAAAAACTATGAACAAATTCCTATGCACACTGAACATATCTTATTTTGAAGTAAAAAAACAAAACGGGAACAAATACAATATTTGTATTTGCATGTGACCCGCGGGCCGTAGTTTGAGGACCCCTGATATAGGACATGTGTACCAGGGGCTGGGCTGGACTGGGCTGGTTGAAGCGGCTGGGCAGCCGGGCTTGCCCCTGGTATCCCCCCACTGCTCGCATCTCCCCATGGCCCACCCAGGAAGCACGGCACTCTCATGGGGCTATGGCCCATCGTGTGGACCCAAGAGCATCTCCCACCAGCCTGGGTGGCCACCAGCCTCCTCCGGCCGCTGTTTGAAGAATCGATCCACCCACCCTGGCAGATGGGATGGAGGGGGAGTCCTGAGTTCTGGCAGGCCTGAGGGTCTGATGGTCTTGGTCAGGAGAGCAGCATTGTTGCTCCTTCAGAGGGAGCAGATTTGTTTGCTGATCGCTGTTGCAAGAAGGTGAGAAGGTGGGAAGTGCGCAGATGAGCATATCCTGACGCAGTGAAGTCTGTCCTGGAGGGGTGTGTGTACAGCCCTCTTGGGAACACAGTCAGAGGGTGACCTCTGGCTAGGACTTGGCCAGATGTTGGAGGGGGAAGGGTGAGTCCCAGCAGCCTGTCCTGCAGTTCAGGGAGCTGCTACTGTGCATCTGAGCAGTGCACGGCCCCCCCAGGCCATGCGGAGGGGTGACCGGAGTGAAAGGTGGCACACAGGCATTTGCACTGATGTCATAGATACTCGGGACAGGCTTGCTGTTGAGGAAGGTCTCACTGGCCGTGCTGAAGGCCACACCAAGGAAACCTCAGGAGCTCATCTGGAGCCTCCCAGGATCTCGGCGTGAAAGGCCTGAGCAGCCCAGAAAGGATGTGCTTGGGTTGAGAAATCCGCTCTGGGTCACTCATGCTGCTGGAATGTCAGCAGCCTGTGTTGGTAGCAGTCCCTGTCACGCCAGCTCATTTCTGTTCCAGGCCCGTGATTGGCCAGGTCTGCCATGGCCCCAGCCTGGCTCTCGGGGATGCAGGGAGCAGAAGGGGCAGGCACCCTAGCAGAGAGGAGATGCTGAAGAGGGGCCGGCATGTTGGGGGAGACTGGGTGTTAGGGGAACGCTGCAGGGCTGGTCTGCCCAGAAGCTGTCCGTGAACCTCCCATCCCAGACCTGCCCTGGGGACTCTGCTGCCTCAGGGGAGGGGCAGCCTTGGCATGGACTTGAGCCTGGTAGTTTCCTCCTCCCCCAGGGCGGGCTTTCACTCCTCACCCACACCTGCAGCTCCAGCCACTGCCCCGGCCATGCTTCTCCTCTGTCCCCCACTCCTAACCTTCTCCCATCTCACCCTCCTGTTTATCAAATACCAGCAGGAACCCTTCTCTGTTTTTACCTGGCACTGAGTCTGGTCCAAAAATCCAGCATCTGAGTCTCTGGGCCAGTTGTCGTTTGTAGCACTGCTGTTACCTTGAAGGCAGAAACTGTCACCCACGTCATGTTCCCTAAAGCAGAGGCTCCAGCACCTGTGGAGTGTTGGCCCCTTGGAGATCTGGGAAAGGAGCAGGGGTGGGAGGGCCAGTTCTCCCAGCAGCTGCCCACTGGCGGGCTGAGACCACACTCGGCTCAGGCCTGTGTAGGCCACACTGTGGGGTCATGGTTTATGCCCTGGGGACCCTGTAGGTCAGCAGGGCATCCTGAGCGTCTGGGAAGGCTCCCTGAGGGAGGTGAGGTTTAAAGTCCATCATGGGGAATGGATGGAAATGGAGAGGAGAGGCCATGTGGAGGTGGGGGTGGTACCCTATGCGCAGGGTACAACAGGCATGTTTGAGGAAACGTGAGAAGGAAAAATATGCTTGCCCAGACCCCAAAACCCCTCCTCTAAAAAGAGGACTGGGGCACATTCCACCCTCTTCATTCTCTACCAACAAGTCGCAATCTAAGAAAAACAAGGTATGAGGAGAAAGGATCAAAGTGAGGCGATCAAAGTCCTTTGTGAGCCTGGAGGCACAGGTCTCAGTACTTATGGGGGGCGGGGTGGAGGGGGGAGGCCCTGAGTGAGGGCGGTCCGAGGGGAATGTTCCCAGATGCACACCTGGCCTCCCTGTCCAGGGCCAGCCCCTGCTGCACCCTTAGGCCACAGGGAAGTTCCCTCCCTAGATGCAGGACTGGGCCTCCATGAGGGCCTGTGTGCCCACCTCAGATGGACTGGCAGAACAACCCAGCAACAGTCAAGTTCAGGGCCCAGCAGCCATGCTGGGAATAAAAGGGTCTCGTTCACCGCCCAGTGAGAAGCAGGAGGCTTGGTCTTGCTTGGGCCTCCGTGGCTCAGCCAGTCTGCTGGTGTGTATCCGTGTTGCGGGCAGTACCCATGATAAGAGTGCAGTATCTCCATACCCACTGGTAAATAGCCACTTAAACCTCCTAAGTGTCCCCAGCTCTGTCAACAACCTAAAGTCTAACCCCTGGCACTGCGGGGTGTCCAGACCCCACCCAGGCCTGGTGGGCCAGTCTTCCCAAGGTCTCTGCTGTGTCCTGGGCAGAGGGAGGTAGCCCCCTGCCCCTCCTGTAGAACCAGTTCTTTCCCTCTCTTCCAAGCCCCTGCGAGGGTCACATCCCCACACCATTCTTCCATCAGAGGACTTCCGGTTTTCAGGTTGAAAGAGATTCTGTGTTGGCTCTCTCCCTTTGCACAGTAACTGTTCCTGAATGGTGACTGAACAGGACCTCATGTAGCTTTAATCCTATTGACTATATATAAGGGGACCAGGCTATTTTAGGAAACTCAATGAAGAATTCTTTGATCAAATCAAACATGGGTATCCTCATGTATCCTGGATCAGGAAACAAAGTCTGTAATTCAGTTGAGGAGATGCTAATTGAGCAGCTGTCATGTGCTGGCAAGGTAGAAAGCAGGACTTGGCCCTTTAGTGACCTTTTTACCTGGCTAAGCCTTTCTTTTACTCGGAGTTGCTTTCTGAGTCTGCCTCTTATACAAGGCCCCATCGTGGGCCTGTGCGACTTGTCAGATAAAGATAGCCACGTGGTCAGTGAGGATGTGCAAACAAAACAAGACTAGTCACCACACTTGACGGTGTTTCGGAGGGTGGGGCAAAATAGGCTATGATCAGGGGACACGTGGGTGAGCAGTGTGGATGCTGACAAATGCAGAAGAGCGCTTTGTGCATTGGCTCAGAGTGTGGAGAAACTGAGGCACGGAGAGAGCGAGTGACCCAGGGGTGTAGCCGAGGCCACCACGTTCGTGGTCGTTCTGCCTGCTGGGGGCTGGGGGCTGCTCTGGTAGAGCTGAGCCCCCTTAGGGTCCCACCCTGGGAGGGAAGGGAGCCCCCTGGGGCGGGTGCTGACTGCAGCTCTCTCTCCCCTCCTCCCCCACAGCCTGCTGTTCACCAAGGTGAAGCTGGAACAGGTACTGAAAGGCCCAGAGGAAGCCCTCGTGACCTGCAGACAAATGCTGCGACTGTGGCAGGCCCTGTACAACTTCTCCCAGCTGGGGTGAGTGGCTGTCATTGTCCCTCGGGTTTGCCAGAGTTGACAGGCAGTGGTTGCCAGGGCAACCACCCACTGCAGAGTGGCCACATGCCAGGTGGATGGGGGCTGATGAGAATGTTTGAATGAGAGTGTGGGACTTGCTGCTCCTGGGGCCTTTCACATCACTGGTCTAATTTTAACCTTGTGACAATCCTCTGCGAAGCACATAAAGAACCTATTTAGGAGACTGATGTCTAGAGGGGTAAGAAGAAAGAGAAATCATTATTGAGCATCTGGGCTGGGTCCTGGGCTTACTGCTCCATCTTCCACATCAGCTGTTTATAGCTTAGACATTACTGGATTTTATTCTCATCCCAGAGGGGAAACTGAGACTCAGGGACCTGAGCCACTTGCCTGGTAGATGGTAGTGCTGCGGCTTGAACCTGAGTCTCCCGAGCCACAGCCTATGGAGCCTGACATTTGTTTCCTGGTTCCATTTGAAAGCCAGAGGAAGAGGAAGCAGAATTCTGGAC